CCCTAAACCCCAAACCCTAATAAACCCCAAAAGGGGGGGAGCACTCCACGTCGCTTTGGAGCTCGGCCGGAGGCCGGCTGCTCGTGAGCTGCGCCCTCCAGGCGTTGCCTTCCTGCGCTTTGAGGGCTTGGAGCTTGGGGTTTAGGGTTTTAGGGTTTACGGTTTAGGGTCCACGGTTTAGGGTTTAGGGCAGTTTAGGGTTTAGGGTCCACGGTTTAAGGTTTAGGGTTTAAGGTTTAAGGTTTTGGGATTTAGGGTTTAGGGTTTAGGGTCCACGGCTTTGGGTCTTTCGGTTTAAGGAGGTGGTGTTCAGGGTCTAGGGCTGCCCTGTTTAAGGCTCCACAGCCTCCTTGCTTCAGGTCCCGTAGGATAAACTCACGGTCCCTTTAAAGCAACCTTGGAAGGATCCCTTAAAGAAACCCTAAAAGGAGCCCTGCAAGGACAAGGGGCTCTGAAGAACTCCTATAAGGGTTCCTTCAATGGCTCACTATTGTGAGTGGGATAAGATTGGACTAATGGCTGTGAGGAATGGCGCTTCGGTGTTTCGGGGTTTTGGGCAAGTTTAGGGTTTTGGGTTTATACGGCTTACGGTTGAGATTTTTGGGCTTTTGCGGATCATCGGGTTCAAGGACTAAAGGCTACGACGGTGATTACTAATAACGCTGTAATTTTGGTATGGCGATGACTGTGATTATTGGGAACTACTCGCGGAATGACCTTCCTCTTTTTTCTGGCATGCTTTAACAACTCTTACCACCATTACCAGAAGTCTGACTGTTGCCATGGCTAAAATACGGGCCTTAACAATTACCAATACTACTTTGGGGGTTCCTTATTATAAGTATAGTATAACAGGCCCAAAACCCTGTTCCAATCACTAAGGCCCCTATATTATTGCTTCTTTCGCATGTTGATGCCAACTTTGGGATCCAGCGTTTACGGCTTAGGGTTCCGGTTTTGGGGTTTGGTGCTGGGTTTGGGGGGTTTTAAGGTTTCAGGGCGGGTTTCTCGGAGGATGGAGTCGGGATTCGAGGTGGACAACCGTATTGCGTTCTTCCCAAGAGGCTTGATAAAACAAACACGACACAAAATTGCAATGATCACGACTGTAATGTCACTCTCTGAATCTTAGTCATAGCGTCTACAGCAATAATGATGGAACCCAAGGTCTGAAAGAAGAATGGAAACCAGCTTTCGGTCATACTCTGACGTAAAACACACGCCCTGCATGGTAACCCTTATAGTCTAGTAACGTAAGACCTCGCTTTGAAGTATGAATCGGAAGTGACGATGAAAGCCCGGCCTCCACTGGTACCCTCATAGTAACCCTGTTTGAAGCCCTTGTAGTGACACGTATTTAGGTGTAACAGCCAGGCCTCCACCGGGGCACTCAAGGCCAAGTAGGAGCCATCCGGGGACCAGGCGCGGCCAGCGCAGCCGTAGGCGGACTGGCCAAGGGTCTGAGGGTCGTTGAACTTTAGGGCTTTGGGGTTTAGGAGTTAGGGTTTGGGGCTTAGAGGCTTCGGGGCCTAGGGTTGAGGGTTTAGGGTCTAGGGTCGGGTTTAGGGCTTAGGAAGGCTTTGGGGTTTGGGAGTTAGGAGGGCTTTCGGGTTCGAGTGGTTGGAACGAAGGTGACTATCGACTGCTATGTCTTATGTCTGCGGCCATGTGTCTTTTGCTCTTTGTTACCCTAGTCTCGCTAGTCCAAGGCAAATCAACAACAGCCATGATCGGTAGCACTATGGGCTGGACTGGACTCTCATCATTTCTCGCAGTAGCTGTAGCTGTCAGGCTGATGCACGTGCATCGGAGCATCTTCAGTCTCCTAGACAGACGGATCTCGAGGGTGGGCTCTTTGTCCATGATACTGTCCAGCCACATGTGCAAACTGTTGGTATCTCTGCTGTGAAGGACAGCTACAGCAACAGAAAACACGAACTCAACACTCGCCACAAGGCACCTTGCCCTCCACTCCGGTGTAAATTCGCTGCCAATACCTGGCGTGCAGTGCTGGCATAGCTGCAGCAAGCAAACAAGCCCCAAAGGCTTCGCTCTCTTTTCCTCGGTGGATATTCTCTAGCCCCGAAACCCTGAACCAAACCTCTAAACCGAACCCCGAACCCCAAACTCCACACCCTGCACCTTAAACTCGAAATCCTAAATCCTAAACTCCGAACCCGAAATCCTACATCCTAAACTCCAAGCCATTTGCACTTCCAGGCAAAAATGAGGACCCGGCTGATCCCCCGGCTGCCTGCGCTCCACCTCAGGCTCCGGGGACTTCGTAGCAAAAATAAGGGCCTGACGAATTGGAGGAGGGCTCTTCTGATAGTGCCTTTTAGGGTTCCATTAAGGATGCGACAAGGACTACAATAGGGGTTCTAAGGTGGGAGCCTTATACTTGGAGTACCTAGGATTGATTTGTTGTACGATATAGAGACTGCAAGGAGATACTGTTGCCAACTATTCTGACCCCTGTTTCAGGTTTTCCGGCATCTGGGTTTAGGATTTCGGGTTAAGGGTTTGGGGTCAGCGTTTGGGATTTTAGTTGTGCAGAGACAACGACATCAGTCGTCAGAATACCATGGAACCGATACAATTGTCACAATATTCCTAATCTCAATAAACCGACAAGACAACCAGCAACAACTAGTACTGATACTAGCCCAACTAGAGAATTGATAATGCTGACCTTGAGAACAGCAGCGGCATGTAGCGACATGCAGCGGGGATTGGAAGATTCGGGGTGGATCCTCGGGTATCTTCGAATGTGCCGGGTGCTGCAGTTGAGGCTTACGGGTTCAGGCTGTCTTGCTCAAGGTTTACAGCAAAACCAAACCAACTCCATCGCGCTTCCCGGACACCCCCTCAACCAACTAACACCCTAAAGGCCGCAAAGCCACGGAGCCAAATTAAGCCTTAAACCCTCAACTCTGAACCCTAACCTAAACCTAAACCCTACATTGAGCCCTGCAGCCCCCAACACCACAAAACAGACATCAGCCCCCGTTGCACTCCCTAAACAGAAAAACGGGAGCTTCTGTTCCAAGATGCATGGAAGTTCAAGCCGTAGACGCAGCATCCACAAGCCTGGCAAGGTGTCGGAAAAGAAAGCTAAACCCTAAACCCTGAACCCTGAACCCCAAACCTAAACCCTGAACCCTAACCCCTTAACTCCTAAACCCCAACCAAGCTGCGGGCCTTTATGGGCTTGGAGCTTAGGATCAGGGTTTAAAGGTGAAGGGATCGGCTAGTCCAGGCTTTGAGCTCTACAGGTTGGGAGCATTTGTACTTACTATCCGTGCTAGTGTCGCGCTGCCATTTTTGCGATGTCAATGCCAGAACTTTGAGGGTCAAAGTGCTGCAGTAGAGATGTTATGAGACTGACTGACACCACTACCGCCACAGCCGCCACTACCACCACCACTATCGCCGCCAGGACGACGACTAGGCAGACGAAGCACGAACCAAGAACCCCGAATGCTGCACCATCAACCCCGAACCCTCAGGCAGGAAACTCTCTCCACATGACCTCTCTATTATCTCTAACTGAGGGGTCAACCTCCGAAATGCAGCAGCAAATTTGATCCTTCGAATGATAACAAAGGCAGAGAATGACTTAATGCTGGGAAGGAAATTGCAACGATAAGTGGAAGGGTTAACAAACAAAAACAGCTGAAATAACAACCTTGGTGGCGTACGTGGCCGACAACAACAGCGCAAGAGTATGAAAATTGATGAGCAAGAATGACGCCGACAATCATGGAAGCAACAACAAGCATATGAATGCGATCAAGAAAAGTAATGAGCAGTAGGTGAGAATACATTGCACCGGTCATATCAACAGATCTGGAAAACAGCTAGCATTTTCAGTACCTCGAGAATCATGGCATGTCGAAAATAGTAAAAACCTTCGCTATCAGATGTTGTTCGTCGGGTAACACCAACCAGTGTACTTGTAGCTCCACTGACAATCTACTATAGGGGCCTGAACAAGTAGAATAGGGTTTTGGGGTTATATTGTAGTATATTTAGAATAAGGAACTCCAGGAATAATGTTGGTAATTATTCAGGCTTCTATGTTACTTAGTAAGTCCCCTGATCCCCCAAGTACGACAGTGGGTCCTCTTCGTGCTCTTTCCAGGTGGTGCGTTCAGCTGACGGGTTCTCAGACAGGGCTTTGGAGCTTTTTCGGTTTGGGATTTTGGAGTTTTAGGGTCTGGGGCTCTAGAGCTTTAAGGACTTGGGGCTTTAGAAGTTTAGGGTAAAGGGGCTTCAGGGCTTCAGGAACTTGAAAACCCATGTATCGAACGAGGGGCAAACAACGAAAACCGACAACGCTTATGCAGGATGTGATCGGAAGATGCTAGAGACGACCAGTGAAGTGCCGAACTTGTCTGTCAAACACTACCCTTGATGTGTGGTACTGGGGCCTCATGCACAGTGCTGGGGCTTTGCAGGTCGACTCCGCGCATCGCCAAACGGACATCGAGCTGAGTTTCCAGAGGCAGCTGCATTCCGACAGAACTGCTGAGATAAAACAAGAAAAGAAAAGCACTTGTGAAGTGAGAGGCTGAGCACAGAAGGATATCTGAGAGCACTTTTTCCTGCTGCACAAAAACCGCTTCGCGAGTCAAATCCTTTCAGCTCTGAAGGCAACAGGCGTCTCTATCACAAGACCTTGTTCATCTGGAATTCATCGATTCCGTCAGCACCGGTTCATACAAAAACTGCGCCAACCCTAAACCCTAAACCCTAACCCCTAACCCCTAAAACCCTAAACCCCTCAACCCTAGACCCTAAACCCTGAACCCTAAACCCTAAACCCTAAACCCTAAACCCACACATCCCAGTTTGGGACACTCT